AATATTTTGCATTTTTGTCATCATTTCGTCCTAAGCAAGGTAATAATGCCACTAAGACTCAAGGGGTTACTGAGGGTGAAAGAAAAAGAGAAGACGTTATTGAAGGGAAGGGACAATAAAAGAAGACAGGTACAGAGATCTCTAAAATATTTATTTTATCATTGCGTAACAATAATTATAGAGTTCTAATAGTTTAAGTCCAGTTTTATCTATTATTCCAACTGGAGTAAGGGTTTCGACTAGAATGTAATATCTATCGAAATGCACAGAAGAAACTTAAATAACTCAGCAACAAAATCCAGCAGCTTTTTCAAACAATAACTTACATTGTCTGGAAAACAAAAACAGGTTAATTTTAAATGTTATGAGTCCAATTCTTAACCATGTTACAGTAATATTTCTGATAGTATTATGTCATAGGAGAAAATATAAGTTAAAACTGTTAAAAATTTTACAGAGGCAGTTAATTGAGAATTCGACCATTAACGGGTTAAAACTAGCAATATTTTCTTTATATTCATAAATTTTAAACTTGGTGACTCGATACCATTTTATCAAAATGCTTGGTTTTATTTTACATATATTTGATATTTTTCGATTCTCTTCCAGCAACTTCCCAACCATATACTCAGAATTTTTTTATTGAATTCTTCTAAAAATCAGCAAAAATGACACCAAATTTCCATATTCCGACTTTATGTTCCTTTTGTTGCAAAAGCGATACTCATTGTGTTTGTGCTTACTGTAGCATAGTAGTTAACAAACTCGTCTCATAGATAACTGTTCGAGCTCAGGTAAAAATCACCAGTATTTCTAATGCTTATTCACAAGATACTTAGACGACTGGCTCAATACAATTTTCCTAACACCTGTGGAAAGTGAAATCGGCGAACCGGGTTCAAATTCCGGTTTTTGCGTACGCTTCGCACTAGTATCCTCGGGAAATACTTGTATCCATCTCTTCCCCGAACAACTAAGTCATGTGTTCAAATAGTAAGGCAGACTGAATGGACTCTAGCCTTAGTTGGCAACTAGTCTATGTAAAAGATTACTCTGAATTCAAAACCGTGTTGAAGGGGACAGGAAACCACCATTTTCCCCAAAACATTATGATAATTCACGCATATTAAAGGAAAGTAAGCTGTGTATTGTCATGATCACTTACGTCCTGAAGATACATGCTATAAAAACACAAACTAAGCTTAGTAAACACCGCCTTTACTCACATCTTTATTAAACGCTGATTAGAATTTTATTTGAAAAATTGGATCGATGCCTTTTGTCTTTAAGATTAAATACATGGTTTCGAGTTGATAAAAAATTCATTATTTAGATTATATTTAATTTTCAGATGTTCCAGTTTGTCGACAAAGTTTTCTCTTTAGTCAAAAAGTCAATAGATTTACATTCCTTTTAGAATCTAGATAAGCCATTTTCCACCTTACAACTCAGAAAATATGATGTTATGGCAAAGTTGGCTTACTGTCATGCAATATTGTTTTCCATATAAGGGCTGATTAACTAATAAATAAATGAAACTCAAGCGCTGGACTAGTTACTAACCAAATCAGTGACAACGTAGATAAAGAGTTAAAAGTTTACAGTAAACACTAAGTAGATTTTAAGCAGATTAGTCTTTATTTTTGTAAACGATGGCGGAAACTGTTGTAAATATTAGAGTGTTAATGTCACAGAGAATGTGAGAAATAATATTTTCTTGTTCTATTTCATATCGAAGGATAATCTGTTCTTGAGAATAGGTGTGATACTGTCATTAACTAGGAAAAAAAGATCTACAAGATACCTGTTCTTTGAAAATTATCTATACATTAAGCTTTACGTATATAAAAATGTGATAGATTGATGATATACAAACATATTCTATGCACACAGATTTATCTAATACATATAAACATGGATCTGCCATGTAATATATTTCTAGATATTTAAATAAAATAATAATGAAATGAATGCATTTAGAAACATGTTTGCATTAATGCGTAGTGCCATTCCATTTGGTTTATAAATACGAAACTTTTCAAAAAGATACAAACGTCTCATCTTATAAGGTTCATCATATTGTCATTGACAAGAACTTTGATTTTTTTCATATATCCCGAAATTTACGGGGACTTTAATTTTAGTCTAGCCAATGTGGTGGATACCATATAACAGGCAATTATAAATTACGTTCATATAATGTTATAGTTATATACAATAACCCATCGAAGACTGACTGTAGCTTTGCGATATTGATCTTGAAACAAAGTTTCCATATTTTCAGAAAATGCCACAATGACGATTGCTTAATTTGTTAGTGATAATAATTAAGATTTAATTGGATTTTTTATGGCATATGGATTGATGAAAATGGTCCTATGACGATATTTCAAGAAAGTATTACCAGGGAAATCTCGCTTGTAGATTCCACACCAAAGCAGATGTTTTTATGATGCGATAAATAGGCATGTAAAATATTATTATAAAACGATTTAATTTTTTTTACATTTTAGATGGTATATTTTTTGCATTGAAGATTTACACCCTACCCTATATAAGCATTTGGGGGAAAAAGATTTTGATTATGTGAAAATGTTATAAATTAAGTCAGGGCGCAAGTCAATCATGCAAGAAGGGCAATGCCGAGTTAATTTTATACTCAACAAAAGCTTGTTGCCGTTCTTGGTGGCTTCTAGAAGCACCAAGAAGCAGCAGGCTAGGACCCCGAAGCAGTTTTCTAAAAAAAAAAAAAAAAAAAAAAAAAGAAAAGAAAAAGGAAAAGAAAAAAGAGGACCTGAAAAATCGCTAGATGGAAAGAAAACGAAATTAAAAATGGGTAAAATCAACGAAGTATGACAACTGGTAAATTTCAATATGATTAAGTAAGTTGCATGCATTAGACTGAGTCAGTAAAATATTCTTTTGTCCAGGACACAGACAGAATTATAAGACTCTGGTTATTTCATTAAGGCTTGGGGAATTTCCACTTCTTCGCCGTCTGGATCAATATAATTTTTTTTTTTTTGTGAAACGTAAGTCAGATTTTCAGGAGAAAATTAGAAGAAAGGATAATTTTTTGATGAAGAGAAAATGATTGTTATTGCAGACTTTAATAAATAAACGAATGGAAATATATAATATTTATTATTTGTTATTCACTGATGACAAAAACATAATTTTATTGAATAAAAGATCTGTTAGCAATGGAACTGACAGTTCTGTAAATAAATCAATCTCTTCATACGTATAAACCTTTAACTTAACTTTTACAACCGGTTTTCAAGACAAAATTTGATGGATAAAAGTTTCATCTTTTTTTTAATTATAGGCCGATCATATCTCTATTCAGAATTTATTAATCGCTAAGTCGATTATTAACCATTTATGTAATTTAAAGAATTTTCATTAATTTTAAACACTAAAATAACGTTTCAAAAGATTAAGCATTACAATCTTTTAAAATGATTAAAGTTACTTTAGTAAATTAAAATTGGATGAACAAAGCTGTACTGTTTTAGCGACAGTTTTTTTCAATGTTATCAATGTCACAGCTGTTTCGACAAGGAAAAGTACTAAAAATGCTTTGTAGTTGCATGTAGTAACTTGACACAAATAATGTTTTATATGTACAATTGTTAAACGTATTTACTGTTGGATACTAAGATAAAGGAAAAAGCCAGAAGGAATAACAGGTCATGACACCATAAATGGTAAATCTGTTATTGATATGCTTAGAAGTTACGTTCAGTATGAGTGTGTATTTCGGGGTCTAAAAAATAAGAACCCGTTAAAAAGACTATACAGTGAAGAAGAAACATTTAAAATCATGTACAAAAATAAGAACAGTTTTTTTTTTTAAATTGGTATCTCAGTTTTCCAAGGATGAAATAAGGTAAAACTGAAAAAAAAAAAAAAAAATCAGCCACGTATTCTTTAAAATGGGGCTTTTTGAGAAGAGTTAGAGGCGCTGAAATGGAATTAATAAGCGTCAGTTCTAAGTAGCATCTGTCTTTTCTTTCAAAGTAATAAGCATCAATTAATAATTCAGACTAATTGAGAGAAACAACAGCTGTAAAATAAATTTAACCGATTGTATTAGAAAAAAAGGATCCAAAACGACCGTAAACGCAGTTTATGTGCAAGAATGAACATTTCCAAGTGAATTTTATTTAATTTGATTAAATGCGATTTGTTTTCTGTGCGAACAAAAGCTAAGCAAGTCGTTATTAACGCGCGAAATAGCAGGAAATTTTTATCATATCTGTGGCGCTAAGAATTTTTTCACTTAAAACTTTCAGGTTTTCTTTCAGCAGGCTGCCAATGTCTACTTCATTCAAAAATCAAAAGATCCAGTTTGTCAGCGAAGCATCCACTGCTATAGCATTGTCAACAAAATTTCACATTTTGCCTGTGTTCATTCGCTGCAGTTACTATCACCACCTCATTTTTTTCCTTCCACAGTCATTGTGAATTCTTTAATTTTATTTTTGCGTCTTTGAGCAACTGATGAAGATGTTATTGTTTTATACTTAAACTGTATATTTTAAACTTTTAAAAAAAATTATTTCATAAAACTTAAAGCTACTGTCAAATTTTCTTTTAAAATCTCTTTTTCTCTCATCATCATTGAGTTGATAACTCAAAATAAGTTTTACCCAATTTGCATTCTGATGGGAATAAATAAAAAAAAACCTAACCATTCCTCACGAACTTTAAATATCCCATTACTATGTAGATATATGAAAAATATTGAATAGTAATTAGTAATAATAATGTCGTAGAGGAAACCTGATCAAATAATTATAAACAAAAATTGTTAAATAAATGACAAATCAAAAGGCAAATCCAGTGTAAAAAAAAGTTTCCTTAAACTTCGAGGTTGAAAGTGATGACTTCCACTAGCCTACTATAAAGAAGCACACATCGAAGGTGCGTTCAAGTGTATGAATTTCATAATTAATAATCAAATAAACTGGAAATTAGATAAATAAATCGCTTACCTGCTCTTCGTATATTTTCGTCATGGTTACTTCGTATAACAGAATTTAAGAACAAAAAATAAGCAACAAGAATAAAGTTTTAAATTATTATTTCTTTTTCACAAAATTAGAATAGCAGTTTTGATAAAATATATTTTTTCTTTCAAAACGAGAATAGAAAAATACAGGTGTAATAATTGCAGAGGGAGATAGTTGAATTGGAAATTTATGCATTCACTGACTCACTCACTATAATGATAAATACGCCTGTGACAGTCGAACTGACGATGTGGGTTTATATAGCAGCCACTTTACTGGGTCAGTCCATTATCACAGCCAGTATTTTTCCAAACAGCCCACTCCCTTTTCCCCAACTGAAACAATCTTCTCGTTCGCTGCATAGGCAGCTACTTGCCGTTGCCAACCAAAAAAAATTACCCTCGCGTGCATTTCAACCTTTTCCAGTGCTCAATTCTAACTTAATGAATTGTTTTTGTTTATTATTTTTATTCAACTTATTATTATTTAACTTTTATTTTATTGTTTTTCATCAAACCAGGAGCGGTTAAACCGGGCCATTAATTTTTTTCCTTCTTGTGAGTCAATCATCGTGAATTTATAAAAAAACGAAATGGAATTTTTGGAATTATGAATTTTATGATCTAGCTAGCTAGCTAGCATGAGATGATTGTGAAAAATAGTACGATATTTTTTAACGATTTTATTCTGCTTTGAAGGCTAAAAATATAGTTATGATACGACACAAATACCATTTGTATTTTTTTTGTATTTTTAATTCTTGAAATTAAAATGACTTCATTCAGCCTTTTCTTCTTTTATTTCAAAGGTAAATCCATCCATTCATCCGTTTAATACACATTAATAATAAAACAACAGAAAAAGCATCCATCAAGTTGATCCCCCATTAAATGCACTATTAACGTAGCCTTGTGTCAGATTTAAGCTAAAATACCTCGAAATAGAATTTAAGCTCAGCTGGTTCTTGAGCCAGCTGTTACTGGTTCGGAACCAGTGATCCAAAAAAGGGCAAAGCCGCAAAACCTTTCACTTCAAATTCTTAACTCACACACAAAACATAAAAACTATTTTATTTTTATACAAATAAAGACCTAACTTTTTTGTGTTGATAATTTTAATTTATCTACACATCATGAAAAAAAAAATTTCTTATTTATAAATGTGACATACCAATTGATTCATTTATTGTTTCGCTTTTTCTTTTTTTTTCAAATTTCATTCATTTCATTATACTTCATCATAAGCTGGGCGTGTTAGTTCATCATCAAGGATGCTCTTCTGATTCACACTATCGCACTTACGTATACAATTACCATTCACCGCCATGACTGGTACACTGATCCAATTCACTGAGGTGGTAGGGATCATAGCTCATTTGGCGAGGACTTCGCTTACCTACACAGTTCGTTCGAGCTTGAAGTTCACGTTAATACGTTGTTAAATTTCGGACAAGACTCGATGTTCATAGTGTAAATACTTTTTACTGCGTGTAAAATTATTAAACAGAATAAAACTCAGCTGTATCTATTACTACTACTACCACTACTACTACTATTACACACTGGAAAACGATAAATAGCAATCCAATATCATATATCGATTGCTACATCAAATAATTTTATGCTATGTACTGTATTATGCAATTAATTTATAATAATGTATATGGTAGCGTGTATATTTTTGCACACAGGCACTTGTATACCTAAAGTTTATCCAATATAGCAGCAAGCTTAATGACTACCTCATACATACAGACATACATACATACTATTTTACTAGTTTAACATTGTTGCTACTACAAATATATGTATACATACTAACTGCTAATGGTATGGATTGAGCACCAATACATACATGCATACATATACACAAACCCACAGGCGTATGTATGTATGAACATTGTCTCTGTAGGTTACTATTACACATACACTACAAAAGTGAGTTTGTATAAAAATATGTTTCTATATGTTTTACAGTCAAAGACCCGAGTATCATAATCATAACTACAGTTAATTTATATACCAAACACAGTAGAGCATCTTCTTGGATTCGAGCTAAAACTTTGGTATTATCATCAGTGTTAAGTATGACTATAATTTATTATAAATTTCATTTCTCCCTTGTACGTTATAATATTTCTTGACGACTACTATTTTTCTAGCAATACTGTTTGTCACTACATCTTCTTATGCAACTAAAACTGCAACAGCTTCATCATGATCATCATCATCAGCATCATCATCAACAACAACAGCATAATATATTCAACGGTAAAACATCAGTTAATAGCTGATGTTAAAACTCGTATTTTCTCAAAGAAGTTAGGAAGAGCTTACAAGGAAAGATTTAATGTTGCTAGTGTAAGCTAGAAACCTTGTGAAAAAAAAACCTTTTATGTTTGCTCAGTCTAGAAGCCCTGTGGAAAATTTTTTAAAAAATTGCATAGACCTGTTTTTTCCCCTCTGTTTTAGTTATAAAATTCACTTATAAACATTCCATGCGAACTAGTGCGCAAAAGTGTACATCGCACACGCATACAATATTTAATTTGTGTAATAAGAGATGCAGAGTTGGCCTCACGGTTAACATTGCGAAAATAGAATCAGCGAACCGAATAGTTATGCTCACTTCTGACTAATCCTTTGAGGAAGTCATGAACCCATCTTGCCCTAATAGTTCTGGTCAGAGATTATTCTCTTCTGCTAGTACTATATAACTAAGTCATAGAGAGAAAATGGGTGCCGACAAGTAATTCAATCAATAATTCAGTCATTCAATCGCCCGAGAGCTACAATGAATGACTCAACATATTACCATCACAATCATGGGATAATTTCATTTTATTTGATACAAACAATCAAGTAGGATCGAGCCTGTTGGCCTTCTTTGTAACTGCAATATCTCTTTTCTGAGCTGTAACCGACTACACATCTATCTATCTATCTATCTATCTATCTATCTATCTCAGTATGCTCATATCTTTGTGCAGAAAGTAAGAGGCAGGCAGACAGTCAAATAGAAGAGACAAGCCTTAAACAACGACACCTAAAAAATACATTTCAGAGAACGACGACAGACGTGCATGCAAAGTCATGTGCATGTGTGCAAATGCATATAATTACTATTCTTAACTCATTCAAATGATGAAATATACACATGCGTGAGTCTGCATGCGTTTATAGTTATTCAGAGTAGTGTTTTACATATTTAAGATACGCACATTTTTCTTTGTTTCTTTAATGAATTGCACTCAAGCTTAAAAAGTAGGATTCAAATTCTTAATAATTTTGAGGGATCCTGTATATATATTAACATACCAAAAGTCATGGGTGGCAGTATGCAAAAGTAATGGTAGGTGGAATCACAATACCTTGAGATGAACAAAATGTCCAGATCAATACCAGTTGTCCTCTGATATCTGGTGAGTCAATGTGAACACCGGTTAGGTTGCCTATGACAAAGTAATGTGAATTATCTGTGTTCAAACAGAGCGTAATAACGTGTGTCAAACGAATTGAACATTCCATTATGAAATTATGAAATATTTGACATCCCTCAATCTACGGTGTCACGTATATACTGAAAATACTCGATGGAAGACATTACCGCCAGCGTGGACATCGCAGTAGCCAATCAAGGATTCTTAATGATCGTGACCCAAGGTGTTTGGCTATAGTTATCTGCGACACTGGCTCAAATCACAACCACTTTCAATAGAACAGTTACTAGACCAATATCAGTCAGGTCTAACGTTCTTTAGATTCCATGGGATATGGGAGCAGAAGACCCACCGGGGTGCACGTGTTGGCACCGGACATAGCGTCTTACCCACCTGTGCTCGTGACGTGGCTAATTGGATAAGTCTGGTAACGCGTGGCGTAGTTCGATGAGTCATGATTTCAGATTTCGAGCTGAGTGTAGAGTTCGGATGTAGTGCGGATCCCATGATGCCATGAGACCCAGAATGTTGGTGACCCCATAAAAGTATGGGATGTATTCACGTGTCATTTCGATCCGTTGGTTCGCTTGACCTGTGACTCTTACGTTATTATGATATGACAATTTCTACTCATTCATTGATTCCATTTTCTCTACCGATGATAAGTTAGGTCAACAGGATAATGCACCGTGCCATCTGGCCCAAGTTACTCAGAATTGGTTGAGGAATATTGTGAAGATTTTTGACAAATGATATGACTATGACGTTCACTTGACAATTAAGCATTTATGATATGTGGTGGAGAGGTCTATTCGTACATAAGATTAGATATCAAGGAGTTTTGGAGAGCTATTGGGACGGCAGATCTTCCCAGAGATCTTCAGACCACCTGAAGAATCAATACCACGTCGAGTTGCTGTACTTCACTGAGCTAGAAGAGGTCTTACCTATTTTTTGACTTTTGGCATATTAGTGTACATAAATATATACACTGGTAGCCAAAGCTTCATGATCACAAACCTAATAAGGTGTTGGTCATCCATACGCCTGAAGAAACGTTCTTACTTGATCAGGGATGTATTTTACAATGCATGAAAAGTTTTTCTCTTTTAACTGCTGTAAGTTACGTGGTGAAAGTTTGACATGTTGGCATCAGTAAGTGCCTGATTCGATTGAAAATTGTGGAGGTTGGTGGCTTGAGCAACATAGTGAAGTCTTCTTTATGTTCGTCAAGTCATTCCCATATAATTCATGCAATATAGTTGACTGTCATTATCGTCCTAGAAGACTTGCTGTGTATCTGGTCTTCAGGGATCTTAAGTGGCACATAAAGTATCTTTACACATGAATGATATATTTCAGCATTTCTGATAAGGGTGTTAACGGCAATGCAATAGGCGAGTTTGAACCCATGCAGAATAATGACACGAAAATCGTTTTTATTCGTTTCCTTCCGTACCCTATAAACTATGAGTAATATAAGGAATTAATAACATAAAAACGACTGAAAGCAAAAATGTTGAGCTTTAAAATGATATATAAATGTTCCCATAAGCAGGAGGAAACA